TTTTTATTAAAAATTAGAAAATTAAGTTAAAAAGAAATTTAGTACGTACTTTTGCTCTAGAATCCAAGTTAAAATCCCTTGTCTCTTTTCATTTGCATTCTCCCAACAACTTTTCATCCTTGCTCTAAGGTCAAAGTCAGGGAATATGAAATCCTGCTTCCTCCTTGTCGTCTTCTTCTTCAGAGCCGGTGTTTTCAAAACATCAGATTTGTGGAGGACCAATGGTATTTGGGTGAAGTCAGGCCCTATTTTGAATTTGACCTACATCATCACTAGCTTGATTATTCATATTGCTGCTGATTTGTTCTCTAAGCATCAGGTAAATGTATTAAGCAAATTGATTTTTGGGTATTTGTTTTTTCTGTTGTTATTATTGAGTAAGAGATCAAAATTGCATACCCTCTCTATGGAGATACATTGCATGCACCTTCATCAAATCCTGTTGCACATAAATGGGACGTTCCCACAATTCTGTTGCATGTGAAGAAGCCAAGAATGCATACAAGTCAAAGACATTTTAGCCTCTGCACGGCCAGTTGAATCTCATTGCCAAGACAAGCGGGGAATGAGGTGATCTAGTCAAGTCTTTGTTTTTAATGTTCCACTTGTCCTGTTGGCTGTTACCTCATATCATACCAAACAACTACTCCATCTCTCTTTCAAAATATACATTTTTTTTGCTCAAATCTTTAGATAATGGAGATTTTCTCTCTTTTCCCTATACATTGTTCTATTTTTGGTTAAATAGTTTCATTTCATAAAAAAAAAATTATTATTATTATTTTTATAAAATATAAAAACACCACATAAATTATTTTTAAAAAATCAAAAAATTTATATTTTGAAACAGATGGGATAATTTTAAGAAAACTTCTTACTTTCCTTCTCATGTCATTGTCTCCTTGTGTCCTTGTATAAAGAGGTAGCTTTGTCTTGACACTAGAAATCAAACATATATGTTTCTGTAGAAATTAATGCCTTCCTGCCATATTTGGCAGGGTAGATGGGACTGGCCGTGGCTCACCATTTGTTATGAAGCTGGAGAACAGAGAACTGTTGTTATCAGTCATTTAAGGGTGCTCAGTCAACATTTCGTGCATTTTGTTGCATACCCTTCTTAAACTACCACCATAAAGGTTCACTTTGGAAAAGTTGTGATGGAATCCCATGACAAGAAGATTTGATAATAATAAGTGAGATATATATGTGGAGGATTGTAACCTTAATAAGTTAGTTTTTTGAGTTTAAGGTGTCAGGTCAAACTCACATGTAGCCAGAAATGCATTTACCTGATTATGAGGTAACCACCATTTTCTTTTGTGTGAAGAAGCCAAGAATGCATACAAGTCAAAGAACCCATTCCACAAGGCATTTTTCTATTACAAGTCATTGCAATTCATATTTATCTTGACTTGTTAAGTCTTTGATTTATACTGCTTTTGATTTGTCTTCTTTCGCTAATACTAATTCCTATAGAAATTAAAGCCTAACAACTGTATTTGTCCAGGTAGTTGGGACTTGCAAGAAAGTGAGCTGTTGTCAGAAATTGGAGGACTTGCACACTAGTAAACATTCAAGACTTGTGTTCTTCTAAAGCTGTCACAAAGGTTTTATATTTTTATTCGTGAAAACTTGCAAAACAATGGACATTGGATTTTTAATGTTTGTTATCATCATCCTCTTACTGCTTTTCTTCTCTACATTCTCATGTGGAATTGATATCATCACCGCATCCACCAATCTTAGTGATGGTAGAACCTTGGTTTCTAGCGATGGAAGATTTGAACTGGGGTTCTTCAGTTCTGGAAGTTCCGCCAAGAGCCGTTATTTAGGAATTTGGTTCAAGAATGTCCCAGTTCAAAATGTTGTTTGGGTTGCGAACAGATGCGACCCGATTAATGACACGTCTGGTGTTTTGATGGTAAACAACACAGGCAATCTGGTACTCCTTAGTCAAAGTGGGAGTGTTGTTTGGACAGCAAGCTCAAAGAAAGAAGCTGAAAACCCAGTTCTGCAGCTCCTTGATTCTGGAAATCTTATTCTACAAGATAGAGTTGCTGGTAAATCAGAAACAATTTTGTGGCAAAGCTTTGACTATCCTACTGATACTCTTCTGTCAGGGATGAAACTTGGATGTGACTTAAGGATTGGTCTTAATCGACGATTATCAGCATGGAAAGCACCAGATGATCCTTGCCACGGAGATTTAACTCTTGGGTTAGAGCTATATAATTATCCGGATTTTGTCATGTGGAAAGGCAAAACAAAGTATTTCCGAGAAGGTGGTTTTGATGGCATTGGGATGAGTGGTTTACCCGCGCCGGAGCCAAATCAGTTTTTTACCATCAATTTCATCTCAAATGAAGAGGAGATTTGCTTCATCTATTACCTTAATACCAAATCGCTAATCACAAGACTTGTTTTGAACCAAACTTCAAGTAGCCTGCAGTACACCATGTGGGATGAAGCAACTAAAACTTGGACAGTGTATGCTCAATTTCCTAGTGATGACTGTGACCAATATGGGAAATGTGGGTCATATGGGACCTGTCTCAGTGCGCTGCCGCCTTGTCAATGTTTGAAAGGTTTTGCGCCAAAATCAGAAGAACAGAACTCAGACCGGTCTAAAGGGTGTGTGCGCAATAATCCAATAGCCTGTCAAAAAGGAGATGGATTTATCAAATTTGAGGGGTTGAAACTGCCAGATACTGAACATTCTTGGGTGAATAGAAGTATGGTTCTCAATGAGTGCAGGGCTAAATGCTTAGAAAATTGTTCTTGTATGGCCTATACAACCTTGGATGTTAAACAAAACAGAGGCTGTGCAATTTGGTTTGATGATCTACTTGATCTTAAAAAGGTCCAATTTGCTAGACAACATTTATACATTCGAATGGTGGCTGCTGATTCAGGTATTGGGTTAGACATTTCAATGTTTCATTAAGTTTTGTAATGATTCCTATTCCTGTTGGGTGTTACAAGTTCTATTTTTGTTCAAGTTGTGAAACTATTTCATTGTTATGATACTAATTCATATATTTCTTCTTTACTTTATTAAATTAGACCATGAAGAGACAAAAGGCAAGACCAAAATGA